TCCGTGAAATGAAATCAATTTCTTGGACGCCAACTTTCATGCTCCATCTGGGTAATATAGCAGGATTTTTTTTATCATTATAATAGCACTCAAACATTTTATTTTTGTGGAGTGCATTTTTCTGTCTGGCTGTAGATTGAGCCGTAGTAGTCAAACTTCACACTACAGTTTTGTAGCGTGTACAAATTTTTGCAAGAGGACATATGGCATCTGCAAAGATAGAAATCATAGAATCAACCATGTAACTTAGGGTCAGACGATGAAATCACTTGTTCTTAGACTACCCATAGTGGGAGTAACATAAGTGGTAACATCACACTTATTTAATTAAAATAGATGATGTGGCATGTAATTAATGAAAAAAGAGAAGTATGTGGTAACATAGTATGTTACTATAATATCACACATATCAAGAAAAAATGCTACAACCTAATAAATGAAGTGATGCATGACACAACACATATGTTAGTACCCACTGTGAAAATAGTAACATAGACTAGTAACCTACTCTAAGTTACTCTCCACTGTGACTAGTCTTAATTGACTATGCACAAAGAGTTAGCATTAAATATACTAGCTAGCCCAATGAAATCAAATCTAGAGCTATCAATTGAGTACTTTCTATTTTCATACTAGTTTTACTCCCCTTCAACAATTAGGACACACCATCTTTACTATTTAAAGGGGAATGTATACGCGTTGTTGTTCAACCATAGCCATTAATGCATAATAATTTAAAAACTGAGCGATGGACCAATTTAAAAATTAAGTCATTAATGCAAATCATTAATTAGGCAGACGAGTAATTATGTCTGTAGATGATTAGGAGTAGCGACTTTCCCAATCTTATTTCCCTATAGTCTACGCAATCCACTTTTTTCTAGATATTCTTTCTAAAATTGTCCATAATATATCGCTTCACATGCCACGACTCTTCAAATATTGATTCATTCCATAGCAACGCACGAGTATTTAGCTAGTATTCATAATGGTTGAGAAGAAAACTTGGCATACATATATTGGGTTATTTGTGGGAGAGGATTCGTGGCATGCAAGGGTGTGGGGCATACAGATTGTGGATCATCTGATTGCCTATTTACCTCACGATTCGGAAACAGGTTTTGTTTTCCATGTGCTTTAGATCTTAATTACCTTAGACTAGTAGAACGTTCGTGCGTTGCTACGGGCTAACAATGCATTATAAATAAATGACAAATGATTAGTTGTCTTCAAGGTCGAAGCTCATTTCTTCCGCGTACGTTCGGGAGTGTTTGAACATGAAACAGGCGCCCAACAGCAACACAAAAAATCCCACCTCACGCACACCCTTCCCTTTTCTTTCAAACATGATTATCTCAATTTAGTCATGCAAAGCAAAAGCACAACCAATAGCTGTTTTGAGCACCAACGCAACTACTCGAGTAAGGGCCTCGAGTCAGGGCAGATAGGTGCTCCACATTGGCACCCATTGGGGCAGACATACACACAAGACTGACTGCATCCATGCCTCCACGCGGAACTCTATCACCTAGCCCATGGTGACTCTGGCTGGCCCGTATGAAGCCTCCGCGATAAAATCAAACCCACACCAAGAACAATTCCACAAGTTTTGATTTTATACCGATAAAAGAAAGAAGAACCTACATTCATGGAACAGCTACAAGTAATCTAGAAATAAGAGAAGAAGGTCTCTACATGGCTCCTTAGAGATCAGTGACTCTCGGTCGTTGGATCATTTCCCTTGATGCGTTTTCGTCCGTTGGATCGACATCTGGAGGAAGCCGGGCCATTGAATCTAAGACGATCACTGCTGGAATGAATAGTAATGGCAACAAAATGTAAATACCATGCCCCCACCAGGGCATTTCGGTCATTTCGCGTGGTGGGGGTATAAAAGGGGGCCACTCAACGGAGACCTAGCAGCCTCCTCCCTCGCTCGCTCCTGCAGCCGCCTCCCTCCCTCCCACGCAGTCGCCTCCCTCCTCCCTCGCTCGCTCCTCATCCGGCGACGGCGGCAACGGCTCCGGCGCCCGCATTCTTCCTTCCCCAACACGCCACCGCGTGGCCCCGCACGCC